CGTCCGTGTATCGCCAGCTGGGTGACGTGGATAGGAAGGATGCGGCAAAAGTCAAGACGGCTTTGAAGCGAGCTTTTGCCGTGGATAAATATGCGGCATACGAGGAGTTCAGCAGCACGGCGACTACGCGCTGGAGAATCGGTCGATGTTTATCTGGCGGACCTGCAGCGGCTCGCCAGCCTGTTCGGGGGGCTGACTGACGACGGCATGGAGTGTGCCTTCGTGGCGGGTCTGCCGGAGGCCGCAAAACAAATGCTGCGTGTCGGGGCCCGAATGGAGTCGTTGAAGCTGTCGGAGGTGGTGGACAGAGCCCGGGCTATTCTGCGAGAGGAAAGCGGCGTTCCCGGGGTGGTCGCTACGGTGGCCAGACGGGAGCCCAGCGGCCGGGCCCTGGCCAGGACTTCGGCGGCAGCAGGAGGGAGCGCGGGCCGCGCTTCACGTGCGGCCGGCTAGATCACATCGCCCGGGAGTGCTCGGGGCGTGGAGGCGGTGGTCCGCGCCAGGTTCGGTGTTTCCGGTGTACAAAAGTCGGCCATATTGCGGCTCGGTGCCCGGAAAACGGGCATCGGGAGGAGGATCGTGCGCCGGCCTCCTCTCGGGACTAAAATGGAGCGGCGCGCTGCCAGTGAGAGTGCTGACAGTCAACGGAGTGCAGTGCGAGATGCTGGTGGACACGGGCTGCACCAGAAGTGTCGTTCACTCATCGCTCTGTGCCGAGTGGAGGAGGCGCGATGTGTATATGGTGACCGCCAGCGGGCAGAGAATGGACTGCGTGGGTACGGCCGGTGTCAAAGTGTGTGTGCCTGGAGGGAGGTCAGTGACAGTTGATGCGCTGGTCGTGGCAACGAAACCATTAGGTTTTCGTGCCATTCTGGGAATGGACGGTGTAGGCGCGCTGGAGGGCGTGACGGTGCGGTCGCCTTCTGATGTATGTTTCGCGATGGAGAGAGAGGCTTGTGGGGGAGCCGGCGATAGAGAGGTTTGTGCCGGAGCGGATGGCCCGGTGGACCTAGTGGTAGAAAAGGAGGACTTTCGTGTCGTGTTCGATGCGACGCAGCGGCGCTGGACTGTGGGATGGAAGTGGTCGGGAGGGAAGCCGCACAGATCGGCTGAAGAACGGAGTGGGCGAGCACGTGGTGAAAAGTGAAGCGAGGGAGGACTATGATCGGGAGCTAGCGACGTGGGTGGAGCACGGGTGGCTGGTGGAGTATGACGAGGAGGAACACGGCCCAGCCTGAGGTCTCAGACCTCTGATGGCGGTGACGCAAAATAACAAGGAAAACAAGGTGACACCTGTACTAGATTTCCGGTAACTGAATTCACACGTTGAGACCCACCCGGCAGACGTAGACGTCTGCGCTGAAAAGGTCCGGGAGTGGCGTAAAAAGGTAAACAGGTAGCCCTTCTGGACTTGCAAAAAGCGTATTTACAAATTCACGTTGAAAAATTGCTGTGGGCGTATCAAACCGTCGAGCTCAAGGGGAAGAGGTTCTGTCTGACGAGACTCGGTTTTGGCCTCAACGTGGCACCACGCGCGATGAAGACGGTCTTGGAGACCATCACAGAGCAGGATGCGGAGGTGAGCAGGGCGGTGTCATCCTACATCGACGACGTCATCGTCGACGAGAGTGTGATGACTGCTGAGGCCGTGGTCGAACACCTGCAGTCTTTCGGCCTCGAGTGCAAAGCACCGACGCGTGCGTCAAGCGGCGCTCGCGTTCTGGGCCTCAGAGTCTGGGGGAGCGAGGAGAGCTGGCTTGGAAGAGGGACAATGACGTCACGGAGATCAGAGGACCGCTGACCGAGCGCAAAGTCTTCTCCCTCTGTGGTCAGTTAACAGGGCATCTGCCAGTGTGCGGATGGTTGCGGCCAGCCGCGTCACTTCTGAAACGGCGCGCCAACGAAGCAGCCAGCTCCTGGGATGACGAGACCGATGACCCGAGTGTGAGGCACCTCATGGAGGAGATCGTGAAGAAGATGAGAGCAGAGGACCCCGCCAGAGGACGCTGGGACTGTAAAAGCCGACGCTGTAACGATGTGGACGGACGCCAGCGCGCTGGCGCTGGGCGTGGTTGTTGAGGTAGACGGTGAAGTAGCGGAAGGCGGCAGCTGGTTGCGGCCGAACGACGGCGTGCATATCAACCTGGCAGAGTTGGACGCTGCTCTGAAAGGTGTCAACATGGCCATCCTGTGTGGCGCGTCGATTGTCAGGCTGATAACCGACTCCCGCACGGTCTACCACTGGATAAGTGACCTCCTCGGCAGCAAAGCCCGCCTGAAGACAAAGGCAGCCTCGGAGATGCTCATCAGGAGGAGGCTGAGCACGCTGAAGGCGCTAATCGATGAGTACCATCTGAAGGTGACGGTGCAAAGCGTGGCGTCCGCTGGCAACCGTGCGGATGCACTGACTAGGGGGCCGGCTGACTGGCGTGCAGAGGCACGGGAAGTCCCGGCCTGCGTGCTGGCGAGTGCGAATGACAACCAGGACAGGGTGAAGGAGGAGGTGGCGCGGATTCACCACGCCGCTGGCCATCCAGACGTCAGGAGGACGTTGTACTTCGCCAGGAGGGCTGAGCCGCGCGCCACCCGGCGTGTGCGCAGGACGTGGTGACGGCCTGTCAAACGTGTCATTCCATCGATCCTGCTCCGGAGAGGTGGGCCGGCGGACACCTGGAGGTAGAGACCGCATGGGACCGTGTCGCCATCGACGTGACGCACTTTCGCGGGGCGTCCTCTACCTGACAGTAGCAGACTGTGGTCCTTCCAGGTTCGCGATCTGGCGTCAGATACGTTACGAGAGCGCCACGTACGCGATCGCAGAACTGACGGCAATGTTCTGCGAGCGGGGACCGCCGGCAGAGATGGTGACGGACAACGCCACTGTGTTCCACAGCAGGGCGCTCCTGGCCTTCGGCAGTGAATGGGGCACGGCGGTACGCTACAGAGCGGCTCACGTTCTGTCGGGGAACGGCATCGTGGAGAGGAATCACCGCTCCGTCAAGGTGATCGCCACCAGGAAGGAGTGTGGAGTAGCGGAGGCCGTCTACCGATACAGCACGACTCCGAGCGACGACACTAGTGATGCCGCCACGCCGGCCGGCATGCTGTACCGGTATGCCGTGCGGGTCAAGGACGTGGACCCCGGACACGTTGTGGATAACGTGCGAGAGGACAGCCGTTACCGGGTGGGGGACGCGGTCTGGGTGAAGCCGCTGCGTGGTCGCTGCGATGAGCGGTACGGCAGAGGCGTTGTGACAGGCGTCGTGTCGCAACAGACGGTTGAGGTGGACGGCATGCCGAGGCATGTTTCGCCGGCTGCGTCCTCCCTCGGACAATCCCGTGTCCGACCAAGAGCCCCTGCCACCCGACAATAAGGATGAAGAGCCGATCTTCACTTGGTTACCTACGAATGAACGTGCCGAAGAAGAGGACCAAGGAGGGGAATGAGCGAGGTGGAGAAGAGCGGCCGGAGGATAGCGAGGAAGCTGGAGGTGGACAGGGGGCGGCGGGTCATGAAGAACCAGAAGTACGGCATCGCTCGCAGCATTTGGTGCGCGCGTGCCGTTGCGGTCTGTGTTGCGATCAGGATCGGGAGGGAGTGTGATGTGATGCACGGAGGCGTGTTATGTATGTATAGCACAGCTGCATGTGGTGCGGTCCAGGACGGGGTCAGTGGCCGTCGCGGAGCCGGCGCCAGCCCGTCCCCACTGAAACCTGACGCCGGGGAGGCGACGGGCGGGGGGGGGGGGGGGCGCCAGGCGCGGAGGCGCCATGTCACGCCCGGGGACAGGGGTGAGAGAGAGCTGAGGAGGGGCGGTGCGCTGCGAACTGTCGAGCGGTGGGGACATTTCGTTCTTGTGTTGGCGAGCTGAGACGGGAAAGACAGTGGGTGGAGAGACAGCGAGTGTGTGAAGAGACGTAATTGTGTGTGCAAAGACAGTGAATACGAACATTTGAACATCGAACGGTGTTTACTACGGCAAAGAGAGACAAGAGCTGAGACTGGCTAGTGGACATCTCTAACCTCTACGCCTCAACGCATGCATCAGTCTGATAAATGAGCATGTACCTTCGATTCTCCTCCTCCTTGAGTAAGGCACTGCCCACGAAATCCGCTGTTGTGAGTAGGGTCCCATTGACAATCATGTCCCCCCCCCCTCCCTAACTGAAAATCCGTGGCGCAACCCCTGATTACATGAGACACGCTTCCAAACTGTGTCTCAAGACATCGGGCCGCCGGAACTGAACGGTCTCGTCTATTCGAACTTGCGAGAGGAGATGCGCCACCTGCGCGCCGCACGATACGACCGAAACAAGAACGTCTGCAGTCTGCAAGCAGGAAGTTGGAAATTGGTGACAATCGACGGCTTTTGACCTGACCTAGGGGCACTACGCTTACAGCTTCAAGCGGAACCTTTGCATGGGGCATCGTATGGTGAAGGTTTCATTTCATGGGAGCAAGAGTTTCTGAGATGTGAGCTGTCGGCTTTGGCACGCGGAATTCTTCCTTTGCCCTTTACGGTGTTTGACTCAATGTAAAGGTACCATACTCCTTTCTACCCCCATACTACTTACATTAAGTTAATTTAATTGAGAAGGTTTTCAAAGCGATGAAACGGTTTATTTCTGAGAATGAGCATGTATGCTGGCCGCTGGGTAGGTTCTAGGCCTCTCAGGTAGCGGAACATCTGAACTGATTGCGAGATCGAATCTTGAGAATGAAACATACACCAGGACGAAGAACAGGCTTTTCGTCTGCTTAAAATTAGTGGTGATATAGCTTAGATGAAGCGTCATCGCTTTAAGTTGTTGGATTTGCAGCGTGATGCGCTTATGCCACCTTTCATACGTTTTAGTATTTTGTGTTGTTGTTGTTGGTTAAGGGCGCATAGCCTCCTGGGCTCAGGTGTGTTTAGTATTTTAGTAATCAAGTAGTTGGCCGCTGCTTCGCCACGTATCAACTGAGGTGCGCCATAAATGAAAACCCAGCTGACTTCTGCGCGAGTCGTGCACGATGTAGAAGCCGGTGTTGTTTTGCGGGGTTTGTGGATGTCGTGCGTTGGTCACGTTGTATATCAAGAAAAAAGGCTGGGAAAAATCGTGATTTCTGAGGCTTAAGCACTGTTGGGCGCCGAATTTTTGGAGACGGAAGACCCGAAGTTTGTTTTCAAGCATCAAGGCCTTGCGAGCAACGTTCTTTTCTAATTGAAGGAACCTGCATGATGTTGATGACTTGATAACAATATGAATAGTATGTAATTCAGCGGCTTAAGCCGTGTTGCACGTCATTTGCTTTTGTGCTCCCATCTACAGGTTGTTTTAGAGCTAAAAGAAAGCATTTCTTGTTGGTGCAGAGAAGGCAAACTATTTTCATTGCCTGTTGGTATTGGCTTTCTGTCAAGCAGAGCCAACTATGGGGCTTTGCAAATGTAGCAAGAGAAAGGTTACAAACCAATTTTGTTTTGAGCATAGAGTTAATGTGTGTGAATTTTGCATGGTCAACAGCCACCCTAAGGTAAGAAGACCATTTAGATTTGTCAGTTAACTATTTCTAATACCAGACACACAATGATACTTGCAATTGTCATAGAAGTACTGAAAATGGTGTAGGTTGACATTGGTACCTTATGTTGCAAAAGAGGATTGTACATATTTGTTTTCTGTAAGGTATTGAATATAAATGATCATAAATTAGGTATGTCTGCACTCTAACCTTCAAATTTTAATATGTGCAATAGTGAACATCAGTTCTTCCAGAGATTGCAAGGGCGTGTCAACGTGACATTCTTCTGAGAATAGTCTTTTGAAGAAAACATGAAAAAAGACCAAAATCTGTTATAATCTGACTGGACCAAACCTCACCTAGCCTGAGCTAACCTAATGATCACATGTAACCTAATCTAACCTAATCTAATCTAATCTAACCTGACCTAACCTAATTTAACCTAACCTAGCATAACCTAACCTAACCTAGCCTAGCCTAGCCTTACCTAACCTAACCTGATCTAACCTAAACTAACCTAATAATCTAACCTAACCTAACCTAACCCAATGTAACCATTCCATTGTCACTTGACTAAACCTCCCCACTCATTCCCCTTCAACCCATGTCTTAGTAGGATCGGTGCCATCAGTGTGACATTTGTCACTTGACCAACCTCTCCCATTAATATTTTAGTTATATTTTGAGGGTAAGGTGATAAGTTGTCTGTGAAATATTCCCATTTTATCACTATTTATGGTGTCATATCTTAAAAGCATCAATTGGTGGACAATTAAATATGGCAATGTCAGGTACCAATGTATGCCATGACCTGGAAAATTCTTAATTTTTTTTTCGAAGCCATTTTGTTTAGTATGTAACCTAATTTTGTGCTTGCAAAGTTTGAGGAAGTGTTTGTTGCAAATAATATGGACTTGGATATTAAATTCACTTGCATCATATAGATAATTACTATATATATATATATATATATATATATATATATATATATATATATATATATATATATATATATATATATATATCTATATATATATATATATATCTATATATATATATATATATATATATATATATATATATATAAAGATATGCATTTTACAATGTATGCAGTGCATTATTGTGTTTCATGTTCATTATCATCAGTTACCATTGACCCTGTGTTGGATATAGTAATAAACTTCACAGGTATGTTGTATGTAAAAGAAGCTAATCACAGTTGATCCTTCTTCCAGTGTATAGTCCAGTCATATCTTCACTGGCTGCAGGACAGTGACTGTGATCCAAGGTGCCAGCTATGTAAAGCTGACCTGAAAGATCACCCATGTGTTCGCCTCACCTGTTATCGTAAGTCAGAAGCACCCTTGGTGCTCTTGAAAGGCATATATATTTGAATGAAGTGTTGCATCAAAAATGATCCCTGTTGCATTTTATGCCATGATAAATATCAGTGTTGCTAAGGTGGTGTCTAGCACTCAAGTGCATATGTTTAAATATTGATTATCAATATCATGTTAAAATTATTTGATATAGTTCACTCATAAAACAATGTGGGATGCCTTTCCATGCATTTAACACATGGGCTTCCCATCTGGCACCACCATACCAGGTCACCTATCATGTGATGATGTACTCCATGCTGACATGTTCCTCTGCCAATGATTTAACCAAAAGTACTTTGGCAGATACATTTTCTGGCAGAAGTGTCCCACTGACTGTCTCTCCATCAAGCCCACCCCACCAGTCATGCTCCCCCAACAGCTGTATTCTGCTGGTTGTGTCTGAGCTACACACATATTCTGGCAGATGTGTTCCACTGGTCATGTCTGAATGAGCTGGCATTGGAACTGCCTGCCAACACTGCACCAGCCGGCTACCGGTGTCCAGCATGCGAGGAGCCGCTCTTCCCGCCGGCCAACCTGGTGTCGCCTGTGGCAGACGTGCTGCGCGCGGCGCTGCACCAGGTCAACTGGGCACGCGCCGGCCTCGGCCTACCGCTGGTCAGTGGCTGCCGCTGGGGGGCGCGCCGGCCTCCGGCTCGAGGGGCTGGGAGGCCAGGCGTGGTGCTGCGGCCGTCGTGGGTGTGAATGGGGTCAGTCGTGTGAAGTGACTGGTCATTCGCTTTTTGTTTGTGTGTGTGATGGTCTCGTGGACGGATCGGCCAACCGTAGGTATTGTGTGGGAATAGCAGTTGAGTGGGGTGATATTGTAAATTAGTGGTCATGTTTATCTGAGGGAGGGTGGGAGGGTGGGGTGGGGGGGGGGGGGCAGTTTGTGCGCAGGGTGCTCAGGGTATGATGTGCACAGGGGTTTTGAATGGCTGTGTGTTGAAGGCTTTGGTGGAAGTTGTAGGCAATAGCCATATTGCAGCATTGTGTTTCAAGTACATGTCCTGACAAATGATATAACACTCCATCAGGATGTGTTTTGCAAGATTTTTTTGCACTTCCTCATGTATTGGAAGTGAGCTAATGTTTGGACTGATGACTTGATTGATGTGTAGTGGGCCGGCCTGGCGCCAATGAAGGTGGGCCCGTGGCGGCCGCCCTCCCTGCTGTTCACCACCTGACCATCGCTGCCTTCCCAGCTGGACACTCCACCCAGCTTTGGTGGAGAGGCGCCGACGGTGGCGGGCGCCGTGCCGCTGCAGGATCAGGCCGCCGAGCGTGAGTACCGGCAGCCGTCCCCCCCCCCCCCCGGCGTACCACATGCCGGCGGGGAGCCCCACAGCCGTACGGCACACAGCGCCTGCCTACCCAGGGCTGGTGTGCCGCACGAGCCGCACTGGGCCAGATATGCTGGAACCACTTCTTTTGAAAGTCAGCTTCTCATCCACCAAACTTTGAAAACTCATTAAAACCCAAACTTTGAGATGTTGAGAAGGCCTGATCAAACTTTGAGAAGTGCTTACGGCGTAGAGTGGCCGGCCCATGCGTTAGGGATTGTCTTTTCCCTGTATCTCTCACACGGTCTTCGTCACGGCAGCGGTGCGTGTGTGTGTATGTGTTTCAGCCCGCCCCTGGGACCGGGAGCCGCCGGCTCGCAAGGACAGCAGCGTGGTGCAAGTGGAGTCGAGCAGCGCCTTCCACCGCGAGCTCAGCAGCGCAGGTAACACGGCTGCTGTCAGCTGGCCGTCTCCTCCGCTCTGTCAGCTGGCCGTCTCCCCTGCTCTGTCAACTGGCCGTCTCCCCCGCTCTGTCAGCTGGCCGTCTCCTCCACTCTGTGTGCACGGGCAGCGCTCTCCCGTGTCGGTCAGGGCGGCTAGACGCTGCTCGTGCTTCGATTGGGCGACGGATGTGTCGGTATGGCTGTGTCGGAAGGGGCGAGAATCATGCCCGGAGCTACCGGTCCTGTCGAAATGCATCGTGCCAAATTTTAGATGGCTGCGATGGCTCCTCGGTTTGCAATGCGAGACCACTGCCACCACATCTCCCATGGTAATGTTCTGACACGCTGGATAAATTATAGGTAACGAAGTGTCCAAAATACGTAACACTTCCCGATGGAAAGAGCTTGAAGGTACTTTTTGTGTGCAGGCTAGCACTGCGTGGTCTCCCCTACGGACTTGACGGGTGCATGTTATGAATGCGCTACTTGTCTTAAACGTCAAAAATAGTAGTCACCAATGTCAATGGATGTCAATAACTAGTCGCAGATGGCTGTAAAGCCGGCATTGCAGCGACTGTCGCCAGGCAATAGTTAGCTCCGGTCAATGAGTGGCCGTGTGGTTCCGTGCTGGCGCCGGTGCGCCCGGCAGCCATCTGTCGGGGGACAGGGCCCGCTGGTGACCGGGCGCGTGTCGTGCCGTCGCCGGCGCCGTCTGTCGGGGGACAGGGCCCGCTGGTGACCGGCGCGTGTCGTGCCGTCGCCGGCGGCCGTCTGTCGGGGGACGGGGCCCGCTGGTGACCGGCGCGGTCGTGCCGTCGCCGGCGGCCGTCTGTCAGGGGACAGGGCCGGCGCTGGTGACCGGGCGCGGTCGTGCCGTCGCCGGCGGCCGTCTGTCAGGGGACGGGCCCTGGTGACCGGGCGCGGGTCGTGCCGTCGCCGGCGGCCGTCTGTCGGGGGACGGGGCCCGCTGGTGACCGGGCGCGGGTCGTGCCGTCGCCGGCGGCCGTCTGTCGGGGGACAGGGCCCGCTGGTGACCGGGCGCGGGTCGTGCCGTCGCCGGCGGCCGTCTGTCGGGGGACAGGGCCCGCTGGTGACCGGCGCGTGTTGTACCGTCAGCCGAGGGCCGCCGCCTGCTGGGGGAGACGCACAGCCTGCTGGACTCGGACAGCACTGAGAACAAGTACCGGCGCCGCTCGGCGCTCGAGTGGTTCCAACGCTGGTGGAGGTGAGCTACGCCTGCCGCCCCGTGCACGTCGGTGCTGCTACGCGCCCGTCCTGCGTGTACGGGAAGCGAGATCTGGTCCGGGCGGGCTCCTGGCCGGCTCACCTGCGCTCCAGCGTACCGGCGTTGGTCCGTGCAGCAGTCGTCCGAAATGCATTGCCACTAAACAGTGTCTCAGTCTGACTGAGGCTTTGCTGTCCTCGACTTGAAGTATCACTTTGTGCTTTCTGTATCAAAGTATGTGTGTTGGTCCAAAGTGTGTTAGTCATCAGCTATAGTAAGGAGGCAATGCCGGATAAGCCGCGCAACTGAGAAATATGGGAAAGAATGATATTCCAAGCCCACTTACAATAACATTGTTTTCGAAGACTAACGTAGATATGCGTTGTGAAGGGTAGGTGGGCGTTGTGGGTGAGGCTTTTCTTGTGCATGTTTGCCTGCACTGATGTTGAAAAGAAAAAGTTCGTAGACCGTTCGCCCCCATTCGCAGGCTGATGAGCGGTCCGCCTTCGCGGCCTCGCGCCGGAGCCATCTACCGGCGGTATTTGATGGTGCTAGTTCTGGTAGTCGTGGCGCTAGTCACCATCGTGTCGGCCATGCGCTGGATGGCGGCCGGCGCCAGCTCCGATGACGACCCCATGTTTGACCCGCACTTCAACCCGAATGTGCACGTGCAAGAGTGAGGTGTCGGCTCGCTCTGTGATCATGTGACGTCATCGACCCGGCTGCGAGCCTGTGACGTCAAGTGCGCGTCGCGGAGCGAGTTGTAATTATGATGCTTCGGCGGCATGTCGAATGGGATCGTTTGTTCTTGTCTTTATTTCACACATATTTAAATCAGGCGGTCACGGATGGTCGGTGCTCGCAGCGTTGGGTGGCGATGATGTGACAGTTAACATTTTCTGTGCATATCGACTGATCGCGAGGGTTAGCTATAACCAACGCAATTGTGTGCTGATCTACTGTCGGGTACCAATTTAATATGAAATACATTGTTTACTGTCTGATGTTTGAAGCTGTAAAATGGCGAAGAATGGCGTTTCACGCTATCGATTCGGTCCAACCCCGCCTTCCATTGGTGAATAGTCTTGATTGGAAGTTGTGATGTGGTTCGCTGGTGCCCACATCTCAGGAGCGAAATGTGCCCTTCCGACTGCGCGATCACCCTGATCATGACGAAGCATTGGAGCGGCATGCTGTGGTGTGGCCGGTGGGCGCTTGCGGCACCGGTCAGGGTTTGATGGAGCGGGTGCAGATGCGCGAGCAGCAGTCGGGCGGCACCGGTTAGGGTTTGATGGAGCAGGTGCAGATGCGCGAGCAGCAGCTGGGCGGCACCGGTCAGGGTTTGGTGGAACAGGTGCAGATGCGCGAGCAGCAGCTGGGCGGCACCGGTCAGGGTTTGGTGGAACAGGTGCAGAGGCGCGAGCAGCGGCACCGGTCAGGGTTGGATGGAGCGGGCGCAGAGGCGGGAGCAGCAGTCGGCATGCAGTCGGCAGCACGCATGCGGTGCCTCTGTTGAGACCGCTGACGACAGGCTGTAGCGTGGCGCGGCGCTGTAGCTACAGCACTCCGACGGCTGCAGACCGCAGAGCGCGGCGTCCGGGTGAGTAGGCCTGTCGACCATCGCTTACGTCCCTGCCCCGTGGCGAAGGTGCCGCTGCAGCTTCAGCTCTGGCCATGGTGCCGTCGACGTCGGCCGGGGCTCAGCCGTGATGACACTGTAGCGGCGCTGCTGGGGACCCTGGCCTCGGCGGGAATACCCGTGCAGCACCGACTGCGTCCCGCCGCGTCGCCGCTTCGATATCAGCGGCGCGACCTCTGACCCCCTGACGCTAGACCGCCCCTCGACGGTGGTGCCACGTCCAGCGCAGCGCACCGCCCGCCCGCAGCCGGCCGCCAGAGGGCACGCATGCCTAACGCTCGACACAGGACACCTGGCTTCTACCGCACGGGCGGCGGTGGGTCAAAACGTAACGTTTGCGCGTTTTTATATTCGGTTTATATTGCATTAACTATATAGAGGTGTGTACTATTGTAAAGTTGTGTGCAAATGCGACGCTTTGTTGGGAAGCATATTTTGCCAGCCCCTCAGCTGAATCGCACTTTTTCACATCACAGTTTGGCTATTGCTATGTGGTGGACTTACTCCATCCCTCGCCCTGATGGAGAGGGGTCGAGACAACCCCTCCGAGATGTTCTGAGGATATCTCCGCCATGTGCAATCTCTCCCAAATTTTCAGTAGCCTACGGGGCATTCATGGCGCGTGTTTTTACACAAAGACGTTCTAGCATTTCTGCTTTTTTAGTAGCGACGGTTTTTTAGCTACACTGCACAGCGATCTGCAGCCTTAGCGGGCGGCGCGTCGCAACCGAGGAATTTACCACTTGCGCGGCAGGTGGTAAATGCGGCGCGGCAGGCCGACACTGTGATGTCAACGGTACGGGTGTCGATTTGTATTATTTTGTGGGGGCCCTCTACTCCCCCCCATGTTGGATTGCCCCCCCCCCGCCCAATGTTTTTGGCCGCAATAATGCAAAAAACGTGTGTAAAAGATTATCATAGCACAAAGACAATCTCCTTTGATCCTTCTGCGTAGTGGCGTCTCGTACCTCTCTGATAACGAAAAGTCATGGTTGCTCCCACCACAAGATACAAGTCGCAACAGCCGAGCGGTTGAACGATGCAATAAACTTCACATACCTAACGCCATGAGACACGCAATGATTTGTGATGTTAACGTGAAAAGCTCTGGAACATGGGGATGACTCAAGTATTTCGTGGCCTAACCCCGTCCCCTCCTCCTACAATCAAAATGCGTGTCGCCTCCAATAATAGCCATAGAGGAGTGCCAACAGCGCCCTAAGGTAGCCTCTAAAGGGGTGCCTTCACGTGCCAATAAGAAGAGACGCGTGCGTCCGTGCATGCTCCCTGGATGCAACACCGCATGACTTCTGTACTGCTTAAATTAAAGATTTTTTTTGCAAATCGTACAAAGATTAATAACTTATGATGCGTTTAATCAGAATAAACTGGGCTAAATCCGGTGAGAAAAAAAGGGATGGGTGGGTTGTTGGACCTTCGGTTCGCCCCCCCCCCCCCCAATGATACAGAAATTGATACTCCTGAACAACGAAGTCCTACGTAAGGAACATCTGCTCAATACACGCACAATCATAGACATGTGTGCTCAGAACTGAGTCAGAAATACCCCTGTTGAAGTTGTGTAACGTGGCGTAGTGTAGTGTTTAAAAAATACGGGGTGTAAGCCTACAAAAATCAGGAAAAAATTAACCTTTTAACGGGATAAGTGGGGGCATCATTTATAGTTATTTATTAGTTTCGGAGACGACATGGGGATCGCATCGACCGAGGTGAGACGGCGTGGAGTCGTGATATCTCAGCATCTAATTGGATTATGGAGTGCTAGAGTTCAAACTGGTCAGGGGCGACATTAAGTATACTGACATGTATAATGAGGTAAATTTTGTCAATTCCGCACAGAGGAGTAAAAGAGGTAGGGCAAAAGATCTGATAAATCTGCGTACTTAGTGAATATAAATCACACCTTGCATAAATCTTTGATTGAGGCATGTACAACAGACTATTATGCGATGCACATAGACCGTTTTGATCCAATGTCAGATGAAGGAGCGTGTCCTTGGAGCTTGCTGACCTCACAAAGAGGCAAGGAGGCTCATGCTCGGAGGAACGCTAACAGCACAAGTTATTAAATTGCATTATTCCAATGCAAACAACCCCGTGACAATCCATAGCAGGTTACAACGCCGGAAACCGTATTTTGTCTCAAGAAAAATGGTAATGTTTCAAGGTGGGCAAATATATTAAGCTTTACTATGGCGCTACCTATGCCTCATGCTGCTTTGCCATGGCGCTGTACATCGCGCGTTCTAAAGAAATGGCTGCTCATATGTTCCGCTCTTTTTATTCTAACTTATCGATGCTTTCAAGCTCAATACAGGCACTTTGGCTGCTCTAAAAGCAGCGGTCTCGGGGCACCCATCTCCTCACCCATTTCGCCTACTCCGCTGCGGTCGTGGCGGCGGCGATGGTTATCCACCATCTCGACCAGGAATTGTCTCTGGTCCATGTTCCTGTTGGGGCCAGACTGAAGAAATGCCTGACAGCGAGACGCCGCTTTGGCGAGGTTGTCGACTCGGGGCCCGTTAGCTCGTCGAGCGGTAGGGACCAATCCCGGGTGTTCCGTGATCATGACCAGGGGCATGGTCGGGCAGCATTTGAAATCCGTCCGATGATGACTCGAATCTTTAACAGCGCTTAAGCTGCTGTGGCTATTTGATCCAGCACAGGCTGGAAGTTGAGAATGTGCGCTTCTGTCCGTTTGTGCGGCTCCATCACACGTTGACGGTAAACGGAGTGGTGGTGGCGTCTGCTGCTGGTCATTTGTCCTACCCCAGCGCAGGCTGACGGTAAACGGGATGGGGATGATACCTCCTAACCGCCGTTTGTCCGGCCCTAGCGCAGGCTGGCGGTAGAGAGGAAGGTGTCTATTGTCAGTCAGTTGTCTGGCCCCAGCGCAGGCTGACGGTAGAGAAGATGGTGTCTTCTATCGGTCATTTGTCCGGCCCCAGCGCAGGCTGACGGTAGAGAAGATGGTGTCTTCTATCGGTCATTTGTCCGGCCCCAGCGCAGGCTGGCGGTAGAGAAGATGGTGTCTTCTATCGGTCATTTGTCCGGCCCCAGCGCAGGCTGACGGTAGAGGGCGAGGTGCATACTTTCTGTCGTTTGTCCGGCACCAGCGCATGTCGGCGATTGAGGGAAACGGAGTTAAGTCTCGCCCGTTTGTCCGACCCGAACGCCTGCTGAGCAGAAACAGGCGCTGGGTCAGGCCATCTTGGAACGACCGGCTGATTCACACTCCGACCGAACGACCCTGCTCTCCTCCTAGCCGTGGTCGCGAGATTTAGGTGGTCACCGCATCCCGCTGCCGGTTGGGGACTGGGTCGTATGAGTTGTCGCAGGTCGACCATGCCCATGATGCCTGTGCCGCGTAATTTACCTTCTGACCGTATCCCGAGAAAGATTTGACCTGTGAAAGAGGCGAAGCCGAGGCTAAGCTCCGGTTGAAGTGAAATTCTTCTGTACATAATCACTTCGACTGTCGCCTCGAATGTCCGTCGAACATTTGAATAAATCGGCAACCACTATTGCCTTGTATACCACAGCAGTATAACAAGCTTACTCCGTGCGGAAGTTCGTCCAACCAGAACAACGGCAGTAGCCGCCACATTCCCCGAAGGCCACCGGCTGTGAAGTCACGAGCCGGGTCCGAACGAGGCTGTTCACTTCAGCGCCAGCGACTCGGTGCTTGAATAGCGAATGACAGCACTCGCCGCCCAGGCAGGCTTCCCATGTCCGCATTCGCGCTGTGGCGACGTTTTCTCGCGGCGAACGGTGCCCGATTACCGGATGACGACGCTGGTCGTTTACATCGCCCGGCTGGACGGCGAGCTCGCGTTCTTTAGCGCGCAGAGCCCGCCGAGGTCACGCGCGATAGGCGCAGCAGCAGGCCGCCACCGTAGTCGGTGTACGGTACCGCCGCCTCAGTCGCCGTCCGGGATCGGTAAGTGGAGCGCGTCGACACTGCGCGTGCGGAGGCGAGCAGGCGAGGCAGGCGGTCTGCGTGCAGAGGTGAGCAGGCGGGGCAGGCGGTCTGCGTGCAGAGGCGAGCAGGTGGGACCGGCGGTCCGCGTGCAGAGGCGAGCATGTTGGGCAGGCGGTCCGCGTGTGTTCTGCGGACGCCCTGTGCGATAGATACGACGTGACGTTCGCGAGTCATACCTGTATGACTGAACCAGACGTAAAAATTGGCGGAGCCGTCACCTATTCTTTGTGGATATTTAACAACGTTTTCAAGCCCCTGAAAATTATTACCTGAAATTGGATTTCGGCACACCCACCTTTGGTTTCCGCACGCCACGCCCCTGAAGCCGATGTCAGACGCTGTTGGCCGACCCGTTTAGGAGCCCGATAAGCGCGCGAATGTGATCGTAATCAAACTCGGAGCGTTTAGAAACTCGGAGCGCAGTTGGAAATGTGCAATTATCGCAATGACACATTTTGGTTTGAACATTGTGAAATGCTCACAACTTTGTGTCCGCTGTTAATGCTGTTAGACAGTTGCTCCGTGCAAGAAGGCTTCGCCTGTTGTGCCCAAAACTAGCAACATCTAGCCACGAACGTTTTGTATTGTGGCATTCGTACATCTCGGGTTCTTTTAAATTATGCGGTTCTATGGTGTCATGTATATATATATATATATATATATATATATATATATATATATATATATATATATATATATATATATATGTGTGTGTGTGTGTGTGTGTGTGTGTGTGTGTGTGTGTGTGTGTGTGTGTGTTACATACATTCGTGCGGAAAGGTGTTGTGAGTGAAGTGTAGCGAGATCCTAGTGTGACCATTTTGATATTCATATTTCTTGGTTCGCCGGCAGTTTGGCGCGGGGACTGCGCGAGACCACACAAGATGAGGCTTTTGTTCGTCACACTGGTCTGCTTAGCAGCTGCAGGTAACGCTCCACGGAGGGCCGGCGCGACGGTGTGTGCCGGCACCTTGCATGCCAATATGTGCCGGTGTGAAGCCGTTAGCCCCCCTGTTAGCGTAGCGCTCCAGATGTCGTGCGGGAAAACTCCCGGCTTCCTCCGGCGCAAACGGCCGGTATCCCCGCCCACACACCGCCGCCGGCGACGGTCAGTCACTGGATGACGTCATCGTCCTGTCGATCACGGGATGACGTCATCGTCCTGTCGATCACAGCGATCAAACAGGATGTCAGTACGGACTGGGGCTTGAGTGCGTGCGGGCCGCGCGTCGACTGGTTGGTCGTGTGGTGACGTCATCAGAGAGCCCAGCTTCGCGAACGTCCCTGCTTCGTGCCGATTGTTGAGTGACTCAACCTCCGGTGTGACGTCATTGCCCGGTCTCCACGATCATAGGGTGAAAATGACAAGGAAGCCGCTGAGGTCACCAACTGACTAGATAAAAATGCTAGAATTGCTGTAATTTCGATTAATGTTGGTGCTATGTACCCATGTCCATGCTATTATTCAGATAACCCAGAGCTAGGAGCGCATAAACCGAACATACTCCAGTTTCCTTGTCCGTGCCGAGCGATCAGTCACCATCAATAGTTAGCGTCCGCCCTGTCCAGTGCCTAGCGATCAGTCACCATCAATAGTTAGCGTCCGCCCTGTTCAGTGCCTAGCGATCAGTCACCATCAATAGTTAGCGTCCGCCCTGTCCAGTGCCTAGCGATCAGTTGCCATCAACTGCAGGCGTCCGCGACGTTGGCCGCGTGCTTAACACAAGTTACACGGACAACGACGGTGCGCCGTTCTGAGAGCAGCGCAGCGTGGCGCAGCGCAGCGAGCCAAGGTCAGGTCCTCTGACCAACACTGACAAGTCGATCGGCGTGACCCCCACATGGAAGTGGACACGCCCGAAGTAAGCGGAAGTAGTGAGTAGTTGCGCCCTGCCCCCGTTTGAGCGCGGCGCTGTGCCTTTGGCAGCGGAGGGCAGGAAAGCCTCCACATCGAACTCGAGTGGCTGTGCCCTGCCCCCGTTTGAGCGCGGCGCTGTGACTTTGGCACGGGAGGGCAGGAAAGTCTCCATATCGAACTCGAGTAGTTGCGCCCTGCCCCCGTTTGAGCGCTGCGCTGTGCCTTTGGCAGCGGAGGGCAGGAGAGCCTCCATATCGAACTCGGAGCTACGGCGCATCAGCTCTGAAATGTTCGAGGCCGACAACAACAACGTCTACAGTCACCTGGACGTCAACACCGGCGGCCGCGTGCCGTTTGGCAAATCAAATACCGACTACGCATCGGCCCCGTAAGTAGCACGAGTCACTGGTTGGGACCCGTGAGAAGCACGAGGTTGACTCAGGCTCCGGGAGAAGCGCGCAGTTACCGAGCGTCCTTTAACAGCGAATACTGATTCAAAGTCGTTATCAGTACCAAAAGGCTCGTGATCATAAGTACAGCTTGCAGCGTCGAGTATTTATCAAATCAGCGGCTGGTGGCACATCGAGGATCGATAAGCGTCGGCTTGAATAAGAACGCTGAATTCACAATCTGACAAACTTGTTGGTCTCCAAGTGATCTTGATTTGCCCAGGATGTCACATAGCGGTAACTGCTGTCAATCATAGCATGGCATAGCACAGCCATCAAGCATAGTCTGATATGCTGGTCAGAACTACTTATATATATATATATATATATATATATATATATATATATAACTATAACTTACAGCAATAAACTGTTTGGTTGGCTTACATATTGTACAAATAGGCGACCCAGAAATCTGTTGAATGAGTGTGACCTTACCAAGTTTTGTGTGGGTTTTATCGGTACTGTTTCTTGCAAGACAACATTTTACAGACATGCGTTATTTACCAACTGCATTCTGAAACGGTGATGCGCACCTTAGTACTCTTTTTAACTCATTTAAGCTCACTGGCGATCCGAAGTCCTAAGCTAAACGCGAAATGAGACGAATGAGCCCTTCGTGGAGTCCTCTCCAAATATGCGTCCATATTTCCCTTACTTTTCTAATTAATTACCCGAGGTCGGAGCGCGCATGAGTTCTATGCTGCGCTTAGCGGTTTTGTCTGAGCATGGTTTGAAGAGAAAGTACCACACATTGGGAAAAAGCTTAAGGGTACACGCACGTAACGGGCTAAGTATGCCCGATCCAAGCTAGTCTCAAATATTCGGTTATTAGCCCTGATCTTTCATGGGGAATCGCTCTTTTCCACCATTACTCCGTCAGAGGTTTTCCCGATACTCCATGCTTTCTTCAGCAAAGTTGTCTTAGATGTATGTGGGTAAAACCAGAATTTGTTTCATTGCCACGTCCCAATCTTGCAAACCATACGTCCAATCCTGTGAATGGTTCCTTCACTTGGGTTTCGAGCATTTGAATAGCTCCGTCGGCTATCACCAGCGCTTAAGTCCCACAGTCACTCGCACTGCTACTAGTTGATTTGGCTTTTTAAACTGTTAGGCAGCCGAGACTTACTATCATGACTATGCTGCAATTGCGATAGCACTCCATGCAACATTGGGCAACTTATGGTGCTTTAGATTTAGTACAAAACAACAAGTCGCACACTTTCGGTGATACGGATGCGTTGTAGTGTATTATGCGAAATTATAACTAGCCGTACGCATTCACTGCGCAGTACTTTTGTGATGGTACCTGGTGGTGGCACGCGCTCTTTATAATGGAACAGAACACGTCTCCTAGACGAAGCCACGCTAGTGCTGTGACGGGCGATGGCTGAGTTGTCGGTGCGGTCCCTGTTGCAGCCTGATGGAGCCGTTCAACGCCACGCGCTACCTGAGTGGGCCAACGTACACGGCTCTGGTGAACTTCTACGACAACTTCGAGCGCAGCACCAACCGAAGGGAGGTCCACACGCAGGAGGAGCACAACGAGCAGGTGCACTTCATCAACATGATCACCAGCACGGCTCCGATCCGCAAGGTCAAGGAGTTCTTGTCGAGCAAAGGTGCGCCAGGGGGCTTGGACAGAGCTCGCGGACCGGGGCGGGGTGGCCGGGCATCCCGGGTCTCTGAGGAGCCAACGCCAATGGAGGAGCCAATGCAAATACCATCACGGGTCTCCCTGAATTGACACCAAAGCGCGACGTCAGGGAGGCGGGTCTGGAGATTTGGAGATGAAAGTGCTGCAAAGAGCTGAATAGCTTAGGTCTCTCCCTATGACAATACCATATACAGCTGTGTTTACTGAATAGAATCCCATTAGTTTCCTTTGATCGTGTACCGGAATGTTTGCCCGTAAATGACAGAACCAGCTTTACAATATTCCTTCGTTAAGCAGGTATGAAAACAGCCATTAATCCCGAATATTCTTCTGGTTGTCAAGCTTAGAGCGTCCAAATAAAAATACTATAATGCGTGTAAGCGGATGTGATGTCTTCCCTCGCACGAACCATCACAGCCCGTGTGGTCGGCAGTAGCTTAGAAGGAGCCGATGCCAACTGTTTGCATCGCCAGTGGCACGCTGCATCGCCATCGCCAGTGGCACGCTGCATCGCCAGTGGCACGCTGCATCGCTCGGCAACGTGACTGTTTTCCTTGCCTAACTACCTCGCCCACTGAACGCACAGGACGTGTTAGGGAGTATAATCATCGCTCTTTTTCAAGTCAGATTCATGGAGCTGGTCTACGCCGTCTTGCCGTGGCTCTCTCCGACCATTCTGGACTGTTTTCAGGTTACCTGCCGCGTAGCATGAACTCGTTCAAGCGAACAATGAAGGCTCTGTGGTTCGACTTCTACGGTCGGAGCCGCGGCGTTCTCTCCTCGTCTGGTTTTGAGCATGTGCTGATGGGCGAGGTCAAGAATGGGTGAGTGGTGAGAACGAAGCGGCCGAGACGCTGGTCGTGACTATTGCATGTCTCGGCTGGACTTCGGGGTATGGGAGCCCACGGGTGGAGCGGGTCAACGCCCATGGGCGGGGCGAGTTGAGCTCTGGCATCTCTTCCTGCTCGGGCGGGACGGCATTCATGGGCTGCGAGCGGACGCTGAATAAGCACAGCACGGGGTAGGCGCTGCTAGGACTGGCCATGAGGGTCTAGGCGTAGTCGAGATAATCTGGACAGGATTGGACCGTAACTAATGGCGACATTCAGGGGCGGACATGCGTCGCTCGGGTAAAGATGAAGGCCGTAGTTGTCGGTCATGGTTTTTCCATTACAGGCAGGTGAGTGGCTTCCACAACTGGGTGTACTTCTATTTCCTGGAGCGCAAGAACGAGGTCAACTACCTGGGCTACAAGAAGTACCTGCAGCTGGGACGCGGGGTGAGTGGTGGGATGGCGGATGACCGGTGCGCCTAGTGCCTGGCCTACGGTGGATGTTACCGGGCTTTGGCCGATCAGTTGTCCGCTTGGCGCCCAGAATTGGCCTCATCGCTGGGCGTCAGCCGGACTCACCGTCCTGACGTTCATAGTGGGGCTGGTAGATGTCAAGTTACGTTCAGTGGAATTGGCGCTGCCTAGCGCGAATGTCAAGATGAGTAAGATTAAGCAATCATCGGTCAGCGTGCATGATGACACGGCACAGACCATATGACATGATGTTGAGGAAGTTGAGTACATCACCCTAAATATTACCATCTGTGTACCGTTTACATTGGTTTCTCAGGTGACTGTCATTGTTTTCTTATTTCATCAATGAGTCATTGTTCATCAACTGCAGCGTATAGCTTCGACGCTACGCATTACATACCGTATTCCTTCCGCTCGAGCACAGGTTCACGACGGTAGCAACACTGAGTTCGTCAAAAACCGCGTCGTGACTGCTCAGGTGGTTAAAACGCACGCCTTCTGAGCCACCCTCCCTTGGCGGGGTGGGTTCGAGTCGCTTTAGACGTTCGCTGTTAACCCTTGACTGGAATAGCCTGTGACCGGTGAACAGCATCTGGTTACTTTCCTCTTGATCAGATACTGGAGCGCTGGTCTGCGAGTGACGGGACTGAGGCATGTCACCGAAGTTCAAGTGAGGTCAGAGGACAGGACGCACCGTGCCAAGCGTTAGGGCGTATTAAACTTTCGCTACCAATTCTACCGTTGACCTGGAATTTCACGATCAGATGGTAGGGATCATGGCTCACGCAACAAGTACTTCTTATCGCGAGACCTGATCCCAGAAATCCGTCCATTCAAAATGCGCGGATCAAATGCTACACAAAGTTCTGGTGATCTCAGTTCAGCTCCATTAGTCTTCAGGAAACGCAGGACTACGTCCTCCCGAATGTCACATGGCACTTGTGATGTAACCTCAGAAGAGCAGCCTAGCGCCCCCGCTTTCCCGTCGTATTCAGTTCCTGGTATGATTACACCTCGTCCCACTGGACCCTCGCCACTGCCGTCATATGTGATGTATTCTACGACGCGCCTGCTCTGCGACACGTCTGCCGTGAAGTTGTCAGCCCCGCCCACGCTGTCCCCCGCCCCGCCGCGCTGGGCCTGCAGTAATACCTCCCCGTCCGCATAACGGAGTCAGCGGCTGGTGGCTGGTCTGGTCGTGACGCCATAGCTCACTGTCCGCGCAGCGAAGTGGCGGCCGACGGCTGGCCATGACGTCATACCTCGCCGTCCGCACAGCGTAATCGGCAGCCGACCGCTGGTCTGACCGTGACGTCATTCGGCCGTGGGCTGGCGACCGCGCCTTGTTTATCCACTTGACTGGCCTTAATAAAGGCCTTCCTGAGAAACGAGGCTGGCAGCTTGCTTTCAACGAAGCACTCCAACTGCGCTTTGACCTTTCTGACCTCTGTCCATGCAAACATACGTGGCAAACATAACAAACCTTTTGAAGGCACTAAGTGCTGTTAGAAGAGTCCGTGTAACTCGGAATTAGGAGGAATGCTCACTGCTCTAGGAGAATAAGGGGATGTCCTGTATCGCTTTGTCTGGCAACACGATCATTGGTCACAATCAAATTGCACACACTTTATACGCAGACAAGCGCTCCAATATGTATGAGATTGCAGTAACATTAAAATATGTCGTCCGACACTTCTTCTGTCACCTGAACATTGTCAAATGAGGAGTCGACCCGTGGCAATGGGTTGTCATGGTCCAAATCTTCGAAGCAATCCTTGAACGTGCCAAGCAACATCCGAAACCCCCGCCTGTTGATGTCCAACATCTCCTCCGTGAACATCTCGGGAGGCAACCTCTTTGCCATTACCGCTATAAAGAGCGAGAAGAATAGCTCAAAGTGATGGATATTCATTTCCCGCTGGTGATGATTTTTGACGACGTTGTTCACGTAGCTTTTCGCCAACTGCATGTCATCCATCTGAGATACAATATTGGCGAACGTGTAAGCCACGTACTGGCCGTGTGCCGCCAGCTTCTTGTGATGCGCTATCTGGCTCAGGTCCATACCTTCGAATATCTTGAACTTGGGTAGAAGTGAAGCGTCGCGATGGAGCGCTGTCAGCAGGACTTCTGAGCCCATTCTGGCGCACAGCTTCCGGTTGGTCATCAGCTCATCCCAGAAGGCGATAAGTACCTGAACCTCACGATCGTTCAGAAGGTCTGCGACTCTTGAGAAGTGGGGTGAGACTGCCATCACTCATTGGCCACATCTTCTTTGTTCAGATGTTCTTGGAAACATGACTCAGTATCTTCCTTGTATCTTCCTTGTATCTTCTATGTATCTTCCTTGATTCAGCACCGTTGGCATTTGAGAATACCATTGCAAGATTTCAGCTGAAGCTTCTTTTAGTCGAATTTTTAGAACTATTTGGCCGGCACGCCTGTAAACGACGTTGGCCCATTTACTTACGCCGTCTCCCGATTCAATTTTGTTTCATCGCACTGATGGACCGTTCGCTCCGCCGTTTTCTATATATGAAATGTCAAAACCACTAGTTCCCTACGCCTAGGTCGTAGAAGATACTCAATCGCGAGTTTGGTGACGTGCGGGGTTCAAGAATTGGCCGATAACCCATAAGATAATGTTATTTGACGATCAAGTAGCGCGAAATCTGCACGTGGTATTAAGCAAAGACATCTTTTATTTTCAGATGTGTACATATGTACGCTAATAGCATGTGTTTATTGGGGGTTTCATGGCACGTTCAGCTGCCGACGTTATATGGCGTTGCCTGGCTCACATCCTGGCAGGAACGGCGGTCACCGCGAGATATTAAACCCGTGACTCTGGCTTCCAAAGCGTGCAGCTTAATCAGTGCACTACACGACCTAGTAGTGCGGTTGTCAGGTGTTATCTAGGCACTCAGCGCTAGGTAGGATATCCCCGGTGCACTACCCGGCAGCGTAGAGGTTATCTATTGTATATAGCAAAGATACGACTCAGACTATGTTTAGAATGCATGTAGGCAGCCTGCCTCGCAGCGACCTCGGCCTCAGATTTCGCGAAAGCTCTAATAATTGTTAGAAGTTGGTGCCTTGTATGTTCTTGAGGATGCACATGTAAATACGTAAACGTGTTAAAAGGATGCAATCACTCAGTTACCGGTCGCTGTGTGCAAGCCCTCACAGTGCAACTCGCGCCGTCCTCTAGCTGACACCGACGGCTCGCCCTGTCTTCAGGACGCGATGGTCATCAAGTTCTCATTCAAGTGGCACAACCACCTGAAACCAGTGACAAGCATGATGATCGGCACCTCTCCCGAGCTGGAAATTGCGCTCTACACGCTCTGCTTCTACGCTCGCCCGGACCAGAACTGCCGTGTGTCGCTGGGCGGCAAGGACGTGGTGGTCAAGACACACACGTACAGGAGCAGCGGCAAGTCTATGATCGGCTCGGCCTACGTGGACCTGTGAGAGGGCCGCGGCACGAGCCCCGGGGTCGCGCGGGGCTGCCAGCCGGGCTCTAGACGCGGACACTACGAGCCCCGGGGTCGCGAGGGGCCGCCAGCCGGGCTCTGGACTCGGACACCACGAGCCCCGGGGTCGCGCGGGGCTGCCAGCCGGGCTCTGGACTCGGACACCACGAGCCCCGGGGTCGCGCCGGTCCGTCAGCCGTTCTCTGGACTCGGACACCACGAGCCCCATGGTCGCGCGCGGCCGCCTTCTGCAATATGTGGCTTACGGACAGGGCGGGATGACTTTGGGGGCACAACCGTCGAATTACTCATGCTGTTGGGTGGGGCGATATGACTCACATGTGCGACACTACACGATCCAAGCAGTGCTTAATGAGGAGCAATAAAATCGTTTCGCTTTGGTTTTGTTTGCGTTAAAGCCTTTTAACAATAATAATCATGTCATGGCTATGAGGCCAGGCAGCTTCGAGAGGACAGTGGCGGAGAAAGGCTGCGGGAGTCGTGGGAAGGGGGGGGGGGGGCTTCGGTGGCGAGACTCACCGCGCACAGGCACACTTATTTGGGGTCTGTGCGAGTCCAGGCGGGCTCCCTGGCCGATTGGGGTGGCCAGCTAGCCGGCTCATAGGAAGCGGTCGCCGCATGCTACAGTGACACGGTGCGGTGTGGGAGTTAAGAGGGAGGCGGTTAGGGAGGATAACAGAACGGATAAATCACTTAGCTAGGGACAAGATCCCAAATAAACATATGTTTGGCTCTTGCTTGATTTGACACCGATTACCACTGTTGCTTGGAAAGCATCCCGCTGGAAACGGTTTCTTAACTCCGCTTATGCTCAGAACATTGGTCTACGCTTAGCCTAGCCCTTATCTTTCTAACCCATTGGGCCCCACCTGCGATCGCCCAGTCCAGAATGCGTAGCGATGCGAAAGGAACAGACGGGATATTTGGTATCATGCCCACGTCGCCCACTCCCAAGCTAGAGTGCCGTTTCATACCGCTAGATGTCCCTGTATGCCTGGTTGACCGGGCTGGCTTGCTGGGATCAATGCCGCCGGCGTGGCGGCGGGGCCAGGTGGGACCTGCCGACGCCGCTAATGGAGCTGACGGCCGGCTATACTGGGCCGGATAGGGTCCCCCGTGACTGATGCGGTAGCCCAGGGCGCTTAGGCGTGTCACGGTCCGCTCAGCGATCGGGGCGGCGCGTGCCGGCACGGAGCCGGCTTGCCAGCAGGCGCGGCGCGCGGGGCCGGGTCATCCCAACGCTGGCGTCTGGCGCAGCCCAGACGGATGCTACCAGAGAGCCGTGCTCGCCTGCGAACAGCTGACCAATCGGCGTGCCGGTGCTGTGGAGGGCCCGCAGATGCGACTGGTCATCGTGTGGACGCATACGGCAGTTAGGCGTTAGGGAAGATGTCAATAAATGCACTCGACGAGGATCACTTGTGACCCCGTAAGATCCAAGCGTCGACTTCAGAGAGTCGCTAGCCGATACGGCTCTCAGCAACGTGCTCTGTGGCCAACTGCACGCTCGAAGCTGTCTCGCGCCGCCACGAGGCAACGATGCTCCGAGCTCCACGCTTTCGCCGGGCTCTGCTGACGTGGGGAGCGCTTCTGTCACTCAACCGACAACTGTGCTGAAGCGCGGTCGTCGGCTGAGTGTTTTCGTGCTTTGAACGCGGGCACGTGACAAAACTATAGCTGGCGACGCTGTACGATAGGGGCAACGAGTTGCCATCGGGGTGCTCGCCACTCGACAGCGCCCCTACCCCAGGGCACAGTTAGTTTCGGATCAAAATGTATGTCTTCTGTTACAACATTCAGCGCAAGCCAATACATACGCTGGAGTTATGCAGTGTAGTTTTGGCCAACTGACTGAGGGGGTGTCACGACCGGGATGAGGTCAAATCCACCCAAAAGTGGGGTTCTCTACGGCTTTGGTCAGGCTCGTAGTCTAAGTCGGGGAGACGGGTCACGAAATGGGAGGGGTGAGTAGATCTGGTTCTGGAATAGGTCTATAGATCTGGATCTGGAATAGGTCTGGGCGGCGACTCCCTTTCCCACGCATGCAGCGTACCGCCCTCCCCCTCCCCCTCCCCCCCCCCGCTCAGCTGGCGTCGGGCAGCGGAGCGTAGCGGATTTCACGCCCCAGCTGGCGCCGGGCAGCGGACTCTACGTCCCTGCCGGTTTCGAGCAGGAGATTTCACGCCATAGCTGGTGCGGGGCAGGGGACTTTATGCCCCTGCTGGTGCCGGGCAGCGGACTCTACGCCCTGCTGGCGCCGGGCAGCGGACTCTTCTTCCCAGCTGGCGCCGGGCAGCGGACTCTTCTTCCCAGCTGGCGCCGGGCAGCGGACTCTACGCTCCTGCTGGCTCCGGGTAGCGAATTTCACGCCCCTGCTGACGCCGGGATGCGACCTCCACGCCTCGGCAAAGATAAAAAAGCAGGTCACACACCCTTGCTGACGCCAGATCGAGTATGTCGCCATCTTGATCTGCAGCGGCCAGCAAACAACGAGGCCAGCGGTCGCTCTGCACCGGCCGCTGGCCTCGAGCGCCAGTCTGCCTTCCATCTGAACGAGGTGTGAGCCGCACCACACCGCTGTCGGGGACGGTGGCGAAATATGTCTCCCTGCCACTAAGCTCCCCCCCCCCCCCCCCCCCCAGTGAGTGGAGATTCACGGCCAACGCGGGCACGAGCCGCTTCCGGTCACTATGAACAACGGTGACGACAGACGAGAACAGCTTGCATACGGCTAACGAAACATGTCAGTTTTGTCAGAGAAAACCACAACATTCCACATCACTTTGTCAATAAAGACAAAGGTTCTTCAAGCTACTTAACACCAATCGCGGCTCACAGGAACACTGAAGACGGACGGAACCAGATGAAGTGGTGGCTCATTACCTCTATCCCGACCGGGAACCATTTGAAGTGCGGCAGCGGCGACTTTTGCGGCGGCGGCGACTATTGCGGCGCGACACACACGCTGCGGCGCGGCCAAGTCCCGGCGGACCATGAACGCGCGCTGCGTCAGCACACTATTCCAGTTCATTCGGGCTGAGCGGCCGCTGATAAGAGGAACACTCCCAACTTTCTGGAAAGTAGAGTGGCTGTCCCATCATTTGAAGAGCGGCGCCGCACGGTACAAATGTGGCTCCCAGTCAGCTCCAGCTACCTCCGCAGAGCAGTATGATTCGGTGCGGCGCACCACGTGGGCCTCTCGTGGGCTTCCCGTGGGCCTCCCGTGGGTCTTCCGCGGGTCTCCCGGCAGCGCCCCAGCAGACGGACGGTCTGAGGCAGCTGGGGTTCACGGCCGCACCGACTAGGACATGGGGCCGAACAACTGCCCGCCGCTAGACACACATGCCGCTTAGGACACGCGTGCGTGGCGATTGATCTGTGATTGCAATGACGCCGTTGCTTCAATAACATACCGCTCTTGTAGGGGACCCGACGCGCATTTTCACGCGCCCTGTTATGAAGCGCCAGCGACCGCAGGGGCCAAATTAGCGCTCGGGTGTCATGGTGCAACCGGAGTTCAAAACCGGGACTCCCACGTGGTAGTTAAAGGCGCTAACAACTCGGCCATCACGACCCAATAACATACCGCTTTCCAAAGCACGAAACCACAGCATTGTTACTATGTCATTGGTGCGGTGGTTGGCAATCAGCACTGGACACTCAAGGAATAACAGACGCGCTGGCTTCGTGGAGCGCCACCGCGTGCGGGTTTGACTGCCACCTGAAACCTCTCATTCCACGTCACACATAAAGGAAAGTCTTTCCTCAACCCAAAGTACCCCTACAATCCCACAACTGGCGAATTCTTTTGAATTCAGAGTGATATGTTGCTTTAAGGATATTGTATGACACTGCGGCGAAAATGGCGGAGATGTGAGTTTGTGTGTTATTAAGAAGTGCGTTTGTCTCATCGTCATCATCGTCATCATGGCTCATCCTCTTGCGAGGATCCCGGCCTTCGACCGACGACTTGGGCATATATCGTCACGCATGCGTTTGTTTCCGCGCTACCCACGACTCATCTTTTTATGACTCAATTATTTGATTGGTGTTTATCTTAACGAGAAATGCTTCCTCACGAATGAGCTATCTCCTGGACAGTGCTACAGAACTATCTCCAGGGCTCTCTCGTATCTCCACCAGGTTGGTTCAGCTCGGTTATGCTTATTATCTCAAGCTTTTACCTAACCATGTAGGACTTAATGTCTCTCAGAAGAAAACAAATTGGGCCCTTTCCTATAGCCGATCTTCTTGGTTAGTTCCCTATAATGACGCGACTACCCACATATATATATATATATATATATATATATATATATATATATATATATATATATGCATTAATGTGCATATATGCATGGGTAATCGCGAAGGTAAGACTGTATGACACTAACAAACACGCAATATTCATCGCAGCAGTAACAATAGGCATGAAACCTCGCACAGGGCGTGGGTATGTGTCCGGGTGGCGAGGGATGTAATGGCAGCTGTCCGGGGTTAGACAGTCCTATTGGTGTGGTGCTATCAGCTCATGCACCCTTAAGACAGTTTTGTGCTGTTTGTATGCCATCAGCACTTCTGCGAACATTGCGCTGGAGGTGTTTCCCTTCAAGTAACCATCAGCCTTCACGCACGCAGGCTTTGGAAGGCTTTGGACGCAGGCGTTGGCGAAGACGAAGACGAAGACGTTGGACGCAGACGTTGCCTTCACGCAAACGTTGGAAGACGTAACTGTTCTTCATTCTGATTATCACATTTGCCTGTATAGAGACATTTCGCGTGACAGCTTTTTTGTGAAATTGTTAAGCATTTCGCGTGACAATTTTCTGTGAAATTGTGAAACATTTCGTGTGAAAGTGTCCGCCCCTGCGTAGCATGGCACGTACGCGTACATGTGGCACATGACGTGAACATGGCTGAAAGTGTTACAAAGTTTAGCCCCTCTCAATAATCAGTAACATCTGACGACGGCGGCGGAGAATAAATTGACCGAAACTTGGCGCACACACTAGCACACCAGCTGGGGACGATAGTCAGAATGATTAGTCCGGCCAGAATACTAAAACCTGGTCTTGATAAATACGTGAAATCACCATTTTTACTTCTAAGAAGCAGGGGGAGGGCATAGGTATTCGTTCAAAGGCAGTGACTATTGTAAGCAACGCTCGGATCTGGTAAGAAGCGCACTATGATCCACTGACTTCATCCTTTCACGCTGCAGATGTCGTATTCAGAATACGATTATTATTTTGTCATGATATAACTCTTGTGAGCTATGGCGGGGCATTGCTTTGCTCAATGCGTTTAATGTACTCTGAATGCAAACAGCCGGAAAGTTCTTAGATATTTCCAGTATCGAAATAGTTCAGCACTGATCTG